TATGTTTGTGTTAACCAAGAAGCTTTAGCCCAGTAGGGAGCATGATGACCCACCAAAGGCACTTCTGGTCTATAGACCTGCATGATGATGCATCGTACCATGCACATATCTCCTAACCTTGTGCCAGAGATGGTAGAAATTAAAATTTTCTGTTTGGGGGAATTCCATCTTCAAAAAAGAGTCACTGTTTTAATTTGAGCAAATCAAGGCTGCCAAACATTTCCCATGTAATCCACCTACCTAAACCTCCTGCCACCTCCTTTGTGCCAGGCAGTGGAGGCAGCTTCCAGTGACTGCCACTATTTCCTCTGAATGAGGTCAGGAAGATCAGTCACTTCTATTCATGATGTCTGTTGTCCAGAGAGCCAAGTTATGTCTGTAGATTGCCTGTTCTTTAAGGTATCCCACAGTGAACAAGGTATGTCTCTTAAAATAATGGTTATAGTTAGTGCTACTGGATGTTAAAGAATTAATTGAGCAAATTTGTTGGGAATACTTGCTTCTGTGTTATGCTGTTGAGGGGTTGTTTATCTGTGGTTCTTTGTGACTATCTGTTTTTGTTACTGCTCCATTGTTAGATTTTATTTGAATGCTCTGTCCATTTATGAAAAATTAAGTTTTGAGTTCAGGCTCAGGGGCGTTTTCAGGCATGCTTTAGGTACTTGAAAACAATAGAGCTATTGCTATCATCAAGGTACCTCAGTGTAATATCAAATGTAGTCAGGAGTGAATTGATTAAAGCAGTATGTGTATGTAAGCCCTTGTAAGGTGGATTATTTAACCAACTCTCATGGAGTAATTCAAGGCTCAGATTCTAGAACTTGGTAATCTGCTCCTCTCCGTAAGAAGGTGGTAACTTAGCAGTAGATGCCAGGACTGCTGTTAACAGGCAGTTTGCTCTGTTTTTTGCTCTACAGCAAACACCTCTTCATGGAATATGAAATTTGAAATGAGTAAGGGAATTATATCCATTAGCTGTTCTGGGGCCCAGTACATTTGAGGGTTGACTTAATTCTTATGGCCTATACATCAGCTTAGGCTGGGATGTCATAGTTGCTTGGGTTATCTGGAGTGAGCAAAGCCTGTAGAAACTCCTCTCATCTTTGCCAAAACCGATCTTGGCTTTCTGTAGTACTCCTTACATTTCATGCAGTCAACTGCTAGAAAAACTTTGGAGTGCCTCCTTGCATTAGTGCTGATGGCCTGACACCGTACATGATTGCTCCTCTCTGACACCTTGTCTTTGTGAAGCTAGTGGGACTTCACTCCTATGAAGAGGCAGTTTGAATTCTGATAGAAGAGGGATTGCCAAGATTGAAAGATGGCCACAGATATGGGACCCAAATAATTGTCTGAAGCTATGTGTAGATACAGTCACACAGGCAGAGTCAAAAACCCTTCCTGATATTCATGAACCCAGATGCAGTGATTCAGCAGGCTCTGTTGCTAACCTAGATTTGGAGAAGACCATGAGATGGCAGGCCAGAATCATGAAACTCAAATAATGAGGTGTCAGAATGAAATTTGTGCCTGGATCAGATGGATGACGTGATTTGGACTGAAAGAAGGCAGTACTATTAATGTGGCTTAGAGGCTGGGTCAAGTTCAGTGTTTTAGCCCTGACAAAAGCTTCATTGTCAGCATTTGGACAGCATTAACTGCATGGAAAGGGCTGGAAAGGAAAGAGTTGGTGGGGCAATTGGATCTGGACCTCCATGATATCTGAGATATCTGATAGCTGAGACTTTTTGCAGCGACAGTATATTGTTCTGATATATGTAAAGCTACTGATTGACTGGACTTTCCCAGTGTGCTTGAAAAGGTTGGGAGGATATAACATGACCCCAGATGTCTGAGATATTAAGAAAAGAGGGCACGTTTAAAATCTGCACATCTTCTTGCACTGTGCTCGGGACTCTCTGGGCATTGACTCTATGGTTTGGCTGTGGAAAAGGTAGGAAATAGGTTGATGTTAAAGGTAGGAATGAACCAAAAGGTAGAACACTGACTTTGACATATTTCAGTTGAAGTACTAAGTGTGCTGCTTTGGTCTCTCAAGCTACTTTAGTTTACTGGTGGCAAAGGTTGAGAGATGATTCATTCATAGCTTACAAGTACCTAAAAAGGGAAGAGGTTTCTGATTGCTAGATGGGACTCAAATTTCTCAGCAGAAAACAGAGATCTGCTGGCTGGAAGCCAAAGTTGAGGAAATTCAGGCTAGAAATAAGGGTGCAGTTTAAGGAAAAAGGATAAAAAGATCACTGAATGCCTTAGCTGCTGTGTGGCAGACATCATCACTTAAATGACTCTAAATGAGAATTTCAGTATCTTCCTAAAGATGCAGAAATTACTTTGAAAGAGCCTCCGACCATGAGCAAGTCTTCCAGGACACCAAAAGCCCATGTCTGGCTTTCCATACTGGCAGCACTGCTTCTCTTTTGAATGGAGTGACCTGTACAAGGCTCTGGAGGCACTTGCATGGCTGCATCCCCAGACTTAAGCGCTCTTCTTCCTTTTCCCATGCTGCTGCGTGGATGTCCAAGCACAAGCCACACTGAGCCACACACAGATGTGCTGGGACTTAGTTCAGCTGCGTGTCTGTGCAGGTAGCACTTTTTGCAGACACATTCCAAAATATTTGGACTGGATTTGCCTTCAACTGGCTTGTGTGATTCAGCAGGGGAATTACAGTCCATTAATTGAATGCATACTCTTGATTCCTTTCCTTGCTGCAGTAGGCCAGCCCAAGATAGGCAATGTGGGAAGGAAGTATGTTCTCCTCCCTTTTTTCCAGGTGAGATTCTCTTTGCTAGAGGGATGTGATGAAGTCCTCTGCACCGTGTGATTCTTACAGCAGTCTAAGCTCTATCTCTGTCAAGCCTGCTGTAAGTCACTCTGGGGGTGCTTATGTGTTAACATGGCATTAGTTATGGTGGTTGAGGACACACCAAAGTGGAAGAGAAGCCTGCATGGGGTTGGATGAAATATGGTTCACAGAGGTGGCAGGGGGACTGGGGAAGAGAGATCTCTTGGGAGATTTCTTGCTTGTCCTTGGCCTTGTCCTTCAGCGATCCGAGTGTTTCTGGGCTTTGGACTGCTCTTCCCGGCATTTTCTGTGGAGAGGGGCAGGATTGGCAGATATTTCTCCCAGGCCATGCGGCCTGCCTCTTACTGCCACAGACCACAAACCTAGAAATAATATGAAGCAGATGCACCAATGCCAAGGCTGGGACCTTCCTGGTATTTAAGGGATATGTATACTGTTCAAATGGTACAGAATGACCTTAGTGTACAATAGAAGCCAAGCCACACACATTCACACAGAATAAATATTTGACAAAGTGTATTTTTCTGTTCCCCCAAATGACCGCTATAAAAGCAAGGTCCTGTTTACCTTCCAAGCTCTCTTTATGTTCTGAGAAGAGACGAGCTCTCCTCCATTCATTGCCTTCCCGCTCTTTTGGTTGACCCATTGCCAAGCAAGTATCAGGAATACTGGTTTTGCTAAACCCCGAAGACTTTGAATTTTAACAAACCTCCTAAAATTTAGGAAAAACTGAAGATTTTTTTTTTCTGAAGTCACTTGCTATGCTAAGGCACAGTGACCTGAGAAACAGTACAAGCCTTCAGTGTACAACGTGAAGTACTTGTCTGTAGGTGTCTAATTTTCATGCTGTCCAGGTCCCATTACCACATGTCCAGGTGTCCACATCCTGTTACCAGTGACACAGGTCTCTAGTGAGCATGCAGCAGGCATAGGTGTGCAGAAATTACGACAGGGAAAAATATTTGGGGTGATTTGTTCTCTCTTCCTTAGGGCACTAAGCATGTTTCCTTTGCACTTCTGGATCTTGTTGTCTTCTGTGCCTTGATGCCAGTGCAGCTCAATAGCGTAGAGCCAGATGAACATGGGGTGCTGAGCACTCATTTTGGCATGTCACCCTCTCATGTACTGCTGAGTACTTCCTATTGCAAGATCACGGAAATCTCTGGGTTTGCCACTGCTAGCTTTGCCTAGCTAATTCCTACTACCTCAAACTGATTCATTTCTGACCACGTTGAGACTTTTTCGATTACGAGCAATCTAGCTTTCGATCTCTTCATACATAAAACAAAGGAATGAGGGAGTTAGAGTTTCTTGCCAAGTGAGCATACGCCTGATGATTGCTGTGCTTTTTACTTCGTTTGTGTAAGATCACCTTCAGTAAAAACAGTCTTTAAATAAAACCAACCTGTGATTATTTAGCTTGGCAGGAAGAAGGAGAGGAGAAATACAAAGGTCTATAAAGTAGTGATTGCGCTAATGAAACCCATCCGGTTCCTCCTCCGTTTATTGCTGTCCCATATCACAAGATCAGAATGCACTAAGCAATTAGAAGACGACCAGTGCATATTAGGCAGTGGAAATACTTTATCTGTAACATATCTTAGACAAGCAGAAACCATTATTACCGATGTTCTTAAGGCAAAACCTGGAAATTGCAATTGTCTGTTTTAAGGTTAGATGTGAGAATGAAAAGGGGAATACATATCTGTCACTTGAAAGAAAAATTGCCAGCCTGATAATCTTTGCATGTCTGATGTATTAGAAAGCCTGGCAAGGATTGATAAGCAGTTTCTTCTCTCCGACCTGATGTTCCAGGGGCATGGTAAGATCATCTCCCTGAAACATCCAGGAAAGGTCACCTACCATGTTTCAGACTGGAATGACTGATGACCTGGCTGTTGTTGGTGTTCCTAGGACCTTTTTTAAGGACTTTATTCTTTCATATTTCTAATTGTGACTCGAAGAACTGCTGTCGCTCCATTCTCATCCTTTACACATGTAGGTTTTCATTTCAGCCTCTCTGGGTAGCCATCGCTTTGCTGTTGACACTGTCACTCTGAATGCCCCTTTTTAACAGCTCTGCCTCCCTGGGGATGTTTCCATCGTCTTGGCAGATGAGCTTGTATAGAGTGAGTGCCTGGCTCATACAGGTGAGCACAGGAGCATCCAGAGCATGCATAGCTGGAAGGAGAGGGAACGACTTCCCATTGCCATCTTCTCTGGCTGTAGCGAAACACTCCGGTTGCCTGTGTGGGGGCTGTGGGACTGGCAGCATGTCAGCAGTGACAGAGGTAAAGGAAATGCTGGTAATCAGAGGCAGCAATGGCAAGATGGAGAGAAAATGAATCTCCAGAGAAGCTGAGCTCCAGCAGCCCTTGCTCCAGCCTGTCTTGAGTGCTCTAGAGAGCAGAGCAAGCCCCTGCTCTAGCAGGAGATGCATGGGGCCTGTCTGTGCAAGGGAAGGCATTGAGTGAACCAGACTCTGCAGCCTCCCTCCCTTCCCTGTCCAGATGTTTCTAACTCTGTGCTCCTTCCTTCCCTGCCTGTTCTAATAAGACCTGGGGTCACTGAGCAGAGCCCTTCTCACTGCTGTCCAGAGTTTGCTGGGCAGTAGAGACAAGACACACGTGTTTTCCAAGGAAAGGTGCTCAGTGGGCTCACATCACCTGCATACAGCTTCTGAAAGAGGCAGGTTTCACCTTGTCTGATTTCTGTCTTTGTAGCTGTCCCTCCAAAACTGAAGAAACTGAAGAGCCCAAATGTTCACGTGGGTGAGAAGATTTCACTGAAATGTGAGGCGACAGCTGGCAACCCTCAGCCCTCCTACAAATGGTTTAAAGATGGCAAGGAGCTGAAGAAGAGCAAAGACATCCGCATCAAATATGGGAACGGCAAGTAAGTATGCTACATAGAGAGCATGGATAGCTGCTAACTGATGCTGAGTGCTTGGGTGCTGTGGGACATCGCCCCAAAGTTCCCATGTTGCTAGAGGTGATGCTGTGCTTTCTGGGTCACTGCTGAACTATCCTGAAATGCTTCCTTGCAGTCACAGCATCAAAGCAGGCTATTTAGTGTGCTCAGGAGACAGATTTGGGTGCTTTTTCTCCATAGTTGCCAAACCCAGTTTCGCCTGCAGTGGGTGAACAGAGAGGAGCAAGGATGGCCCCAGACAGACATCAACTGTGTAGGATGGGACTCATTTAATGGATACCATTAGATGTACCTGTAAGCTATGGTATGTCCTGGAGAGCCCCTTGAGTCGCTGTGCTTTAGAGGCAACTTCTGTGCCTTCTTTAATTAAATGGTTTGCTTTAGAAAAATGTTTGAGAAAGTTAGGTGTTTCGATAACTGTTGTCTGTTTGGGAAGGTCCATGACTAGACCCCGCAGCAGGCCATAGCAATTGATCTGAGATAGCTAGTAAATAAAAGAATTCAGTGTAAAATATTTTTCTTTATGTTTTCTTTATGTATAATGCTGTAAAATCAAACAACTAGGAAACGGGGTGTAGCTGCAGAGATCTTACCAGAGACAGGAACCAGAGAAGAGAGGGTCTCACTGGAAATTTGTTTAAATAGATCCATGCTGATATTTTTCAAGACCAAATACTTGCATATGTTATCTTCTAAAATTAGTACACAATTGTGACCATGCTTAAATTCGTATACTTCACCTAGCCAGTAAAAAAACAGCTTGCAACTGTCTGTTACCTTGGCAATCTTAAAAGTAATTCTTTGCTAACATATGTTATGGCTGAGTGTGTGAAAAAAAAACTCTCTTTTTATGGAGAATGGAGTTAGTTTTCATTTCAATGATACCCTCATAATGGTTATCCTCCTTTGTAATTAGTGCAGAAAGATTAGTGACAGTTTTGGGACAAGACAGAGAAGCTGTCAGTAGAAAGTTTAGGCTAATAGCATCAGCAGTCATCGTGACTGAATTGTACCTAGTGGATGATGTCTGCTCAGGACACAGACAGTGGAGGGAGAGCAGAAATGTGTCTACCTCTTTGCGTTGGGATCCTGACTCTTGCCAGCAGCTCCTCTGAGTTCACAGGATCTTCCTTGCCTCTGGGGCACCTCCTGTCCAATACTAAGCTGTAACAGTATGGCATCCCACCCACAGCGTGGCTGGGATGGAGAGGGGACACACAATCCCTGGAGCAGGGACACAGACATATGGAAGAAGGTTGATCCTCTTTCCTCAGGACACTGCTGTCAAGTCCTAATTTTGCATTTACTAGTTTCTATGGCAACATGTTGGCTCACGGCCCACTAGGGACAGACCGAAAACATGTTGTGTGCTAGAAGTGCTTCCTGCTGGCAAAATAAGCCCAAGGATAAACATCTTAAGAAATCTGAGCACCTGCTTCCTCCATGGTCTGAGGCCCTCCCAGCAGCAAAGGCCTAGCCCCTAAGTGTCCCCTGTTGGTCTGCCCTCCAGAATCACTTCCCATCCTTGCCTGTGCTCCCTACTTCTGGTAAACCATACCATTAAACAGGCAGGTTTCCTGCACAGAGCAGATGCTTGGCCACTGGAGCTGGGCTCATGTGGTTCTCCGGCCAGCCCCTAGCCTTGAGATGATAGAGTCTTTGCCCACTGTTGAGCAGAATGTAGTGCAGGACCACTTCTCCAGGCAGGTCTGGTTGGTCTATATGGACCCTGTCCATATTCTTCACTTTAGGGTCTCCACAGAGTTCGCCAGATTTCACTGCTTGAAAATACCATGAGTGAAGAGTGCTTGCTGTGATCTGAACTGGCTCATTCTGGACTCTTGTACACAAGCAAAGACAGGTTAAAAATTGCTCTGTGCTAATGCAGGCTGAGGGTCGAGGGAGCAACTTTGTGCATCTCTGTTAAGCAGCTAGCAGGTCTGTTACTGGAGGAACACCAGCACGTTAGGAGAGGATTCCAACAAAGGAGAGGAATTCTCAACTAGTAAGTTTAGAAAGAAGATCTTAGTAAATGATAATTAATTCAAGAATAACAAGGTTTATGTACCTGACTTCACTTAGAGATAACATTGATCTCCAGATAATCCTCTGCTCTGAATATAGTGATGTTTCCCAAAGGGCTAGAATGCAGAGTATTGGCAAGGGACACTCACTGCAAAGCACCCCTGGGAAAAAAAGACATCACAGTCTCTACAGCACCTGCTTAGGTACACACAATCATTTCTTTAAAAGTTCGATCCAAAGACATATTAGACTTACTTGCTGGAGCTAGGCAGCATGAGCACTGCCAGGTTGTAGAGGTGTCCATAGTGTTTCTCTTGGCCCTGTCAGTCCTCAAAATAACTGGGCATAGGTCTGAGTCCAACTCTTCATTTGCTGCCCTGCAATCCCTAGGCAAAATGCAGAGGATTGGGATGGGTGACAAGAAGCATGTAGCTACCATCTGTGACTCTAATGCTCTGTGCCTCAGTTTCTTTCTTGAAGAATGGATACTGCCCTGTATATTAAAAAAACAAACAAAAAAAAACCAACCTCTGGCTAAAAAGGGTGAATGAAGCCCTCTTTCGCCCTGATATGACCAATATTTTTATCCGATCCCATGGTCTTCCTAGAACTGAAGATCTTTTGAAAATAAGGGAAGTGTATGTTGTAAGGAGGAGAGAATCAGTTAAGTACTTATCAGCTCTTCAGCTTTTCCATCGGTCATATTTCTTCTTTTTTTCAAACTTACCTGCACAGCTTCTTCTACCAGACAAGGCAGTCAGTTTTTCAATAAGCATTTTCTGGAGGGAGGGGAAAAAATCAGATTCCTCCTTTGTAATTAGGAACAGGCTGGGGCAAGCCTGGCTTGCGCAGAAAGGAAACTTCTCTTTAAAGTGGAAGAAATTATTGGCTGGAGTTTTATCTCATGTTCAATTTAAATAAAACACAGTTAGAGGCCTGGAGACATTACCCAAAAAGAAATATACACCTTAGTGAAAGCAAAGTGAAGCAACTATCCTTCTCAGCTGCTGGAGAGATACTATTTTCTGCTGAGTGCATCTGAGACCTGATCTGGGCTGCTGAATCCCAAGAAGTCAAAGCTGAATTTTGAATCTCTGACTAACCTGGCAAATAGTTGAATGACAACTGTGGAGAGATTCAGGGAGTTTCCATTTGCTGAAGAGTAGGTTACCTACCCTGACATAGTTGCAACTACTTGTGCAGTGCTCAGCCCTTAGTCATGTAGGTTGTCAATTGAAGTTAGAGGGGGTCCGAAGGCTTGGTGGTGTCCTTGCTGTTCTGCCTTTACAGCCACTTCTCTTTGTATGTTTTCTAACCATGGGAGATCACTGGGATGATGAAGTAGGCGTATCATTAGATTGGAGAGGGTTGGTAGTTCAATTTGGGACAGGCTGACCATATAATCTCCCTTGAGAGTACTGCCCTACTTTCAGTATCACCAAGAATCCCTATTGTTAGCCTGTAAGTGGAGTCAAGGGATGCCCTCCGCTCCTGTTACTGTACAGTAGTCCCTTAGGCAATGCCAGTTGGGGCAGATTCATTGCTGGGGTCTTCCTTGCAGAGCTCCCTGCTGTAGATTATACCCCACCCACAATGAATGGGGCTGTGGTCTTCCTTGTACAGCTCACTGCTTTGGAATGAAGGCAAAAAATAATAATGCCAAAGCAGCAGGGGAAAGAGAGTGCCAATAAAGATAAATGATTTCCTAATTAAGCCTGGAGACAAGGAGGGGCAGAGAACTGTTGAAGCCTTGTGGGAGCCAGAGTGAACCCAAGCAGGCTATACCACCACTCTGACAGGGGTCTTCTGGCTGACATTTTTAAACAAAGGAAAAAGCTCATTTGACAATGGATCTTGCAAGACCAATTCCAAATGCCTTGAAGCTAAGACTCTTCTCAAGCACCGGTGTTGTTATAATCACCAGGGGAGCTTCTGTCTTGCTAACTCTCACGATGTTATTATAAGTCTCCGATATTTGGGGTTTGTTTTAGCTGCTGAAGGCAGTTTTTTTTGGAGGGGGTGTGTGGAAGACAACATCTCCTTTGTTTGTCTGTTTGTTTTTAAGGAGATGATGGACATCAGTTTGGCCAGCTCATCTGGGACTGAACCAGGGAACTTGAGAACTGAAAGCACAACCAGTTGGGTCTTGAGCTAGAGCAACCCACAAAGCTTGCAAATTGGGGCTGCTTAGAGGTTCAGGGAATGGGCATTTGATCAAACACAATTAAGTTACAGTGGCTAACAAGTTATGGCCAGATACTAAGCCACTTTAACTAATGGTGCTTGCGAATTTAACCATGAAGGGAGGTTTATATGCTTAAAATGTTGTCTGGTTTTTTCAGTGATGTTAGCTGGTCAAATAAAAGATATTTCTTCCCTCTATAGACCTTAGGCCACTGCAGTTGCAAAATGTCACAGATTAGCTTGAAGCACGCTTGTTGAGATATGAACTAAAATCACATTCATTACAGTTTAACTCAAAATGCTTTACCTAGCACTTAAGGGAAGAGGGCTGGGACCAGGTCTGAGATTTGCAGACACTTCATATGGGACAGGGCCTTGCATACCTGCAGTCAAGTATTTAGCAAGTATTCCTGCATTTCACAGACCAGGCACAAGCAACGATCTGTAACATACACTCATTAATTGCAGAAGAAAAGGTGCAGGAAAAAAGAGTGACTTGAATTGCATCCCAAAGACTTCACACATACAAAAGACCCTCACAACTATAACCGCATCACTTGCAAAATACTGTGTAAGAGGACCTCTTTTGCAGAAGTTTTGGAGGGATAATTCTCTGACCTCCTGAGGGTGTCAAGCCTTTGACCTTATCTATTTTTTCACAAAAATATTTTTTCCTAATCTGGTAATTCTTATTTGCAGCCTGGCTCTGCTCATCTCAGCATTCCAGTGCTGTTCCACACAGCCCACTGCTTTTA